GACAATTTAAAGCACGCTCGCATCCAATGCAATCCCATTAGGAATCTCATGTATTTTTTTTTATTCTTACTCTATTTTCGTTAAGACGACAAACTCAAAAAACTCTCTTCAATTACATTACTTTTACAGGCAAGCATGGTAAAATAAAATTCATCTGAATGAGTGTCGTCCCCCCTGGGGAACGACACTTCAGGATTATCCCATTTTTACCCAAACCTCTCATATAATTTTCAACGTGCACAAAATTTCAATCCATCCTATCTATTCTTTCTATTCCCAACTTATCCCTTCTGCATGCACACAAATTGTCAAGCAAGCCGTGGAGTTTCTCGAAGTTTTCAGGTCGACCGCGAAGCAATCTGCCATACTCACTGTCAGTTTACAACACTCTCCACAACAAACACCACGTATGTCAGCTGGCCATGCCGGTAAAAAATCGGTGCGAAAACAAAAAAAAAGATGACGGACCACTCGTCTATAATCGGTTTCGGGGGCAAAAAACATCAAGTGCATCACGGAGGATTTTTTTTTAAAGCTTTATTAAAGAGATTTTTAGCCTTAGGCTAGTTCATCTCTAGCATCCCGGACTCAAACCGATCGAATTCGACGGATAAGAGCCCGGGTCTCTGTGTGTTGTAGCATGGAAGTTGCCGAACAGGCGCGAAGCAACTGTTGATTTCGGTCGAACTGCTGATTCTAGCCCCGGGAAAAGCCTTACCAATGAAACCCCCTACGACAAGCAGGTGGAAAAGGAATTCAGGTCATTTTTTCCACTCGGCCAAAGTTTTAATCGTCTCTGCTGCTGGTCAAGGGTTCGGATAAGAAATAGCTAATGGTGAAGTAAGACACCCACCGGCTGATGTATTTCTGTGCGAGAATATTGCGAATCAAGTTCCCGTCCAAATACAGCTGGGAATATTAACCGGAACCTTGTAATCAAACGCCATCACCCGTTCCTCCTAGTTTGCAGTTTCGACCTATTCGGTGTGGAACCGTTTTCTGCACTTGAGCTGTGAGCTTTGGTTATTATAGTTGGGCGGTGTCCCGAGCGGTGTCCATTAATTCCGTTTTGCTAAAAATCACTATTTTTGACCCCCCCCCGTTTGGAACAAAACGATACACTGAAAATGACCCCTCTCTATTTATTACGTAACGCTCTATAATCCCCCCCCCCCCGCCTTTCCATTTAATTAATTTTTGATTTCGTTTTGTATTTTTTTTTTATTTTTAGGTAATTAATTATATTATTAATATTCAAAACAAAAACAAAGAATCAGCGTACCATCGAGTACCTGCTTTTCAAAAGTTAAAGGATAGCAAAAATCACAATTTATAAAATTAAAACAGATCCATTTTGCAAAGCAAGATTTAGTGATGACAGCCTTCGTTGTTGTACCAAAAACGTCAAAAAAGATCTGTATTTTCAAACTTTACATCAAGAAACGAAAAAAAAAACAAAATGTTCTCTTTGTTACGTAACGCAAAGCTTTACTATTCCTCCTCTATGTATAATTCGTAACGATATAGGTGACACCCTCTCCCCCTATAAGCGTTACGTAATTCATGAACGCTTCATTGCAGCAAATTTTTCTTCTTTTTACACCTATCCTCTTCGCGTTCAGACTCGTATCCCTCTGAAATTTTTAACACCCCTCACATCACATTAATTGCCTGATCTATTCCCATTAATTTTTTCTATCCCTGCTCTACCCAAGTAACAATCTAAATGCTTGGAAGATTTATTCTTATTTTATCATTGTTTTATAATAGCATCCCTTCCAGCCTGTGGTTGTATTATTATAAAACTGTTTTATGACTACTAAATTAAAACTCAGACTTCATAGTTTTAACGGTAGCTGTAAGGTGGTTCTGCATCACTACTTATAACTGAAGAATAAAACCAAAACAAAACATACAATTATGGTTTATGGTACACTTTTTATGACCGATATAAAACTTGAAGCAGTCTTAGACCTTCATTAAAGCTTCATTACAACTATCATCTTTATCAGAGGCCTAAGATTCACAGATAAGAAATATACTGCTACAACAAAAAATACTCTGAAATTTTTTGTCATTATAAAAAACAAATCTATTCAGATATATGAAATGAAAACCCCTTCAGTGCTTCTGAACACGATGAAGATGAGACGATCGACAATATGAAACTCCTGGAGGAACTACAGTTATACGATCCCTACATAAGGCACAGTGCAGTGAAGGAGCTCTTAAAAATATTGAACAAGCGGCTTTCCGATACACTTCCGAAAGATCCACGAACCCTTCTTAAAGCAACGCCGACAGTTTCACTAAATCCGTTTGGAGATGGCCAGTATTGACATCACGGCTTTAAACCTTGTATTGAAAAAGCTTTTAGTGGATCCAATAAGCATTTCTTACATCTTGATTACAAGCGAAAATAGGAGGATCGCTTGGAATGTTGACTTTTTGACAGGTGGTCATGGTTTTTGTTTTGTTTTGATTCGCTGTACCGAATAAAACCAGCAAGCTAGTTATATAGCTTAAATATAACTTAACGCTCTCAATTTGGACTACGAAATGCTAAGATACAACCATTAGGTTTATGTTATGCTATAGAATTCCAATCTAGGAGAATATGTTATATTAAGGTATTTTTAAGGAGTAGCAAGTTATAACGAAAAAAAAATGTCGCCGTATGAACAAATTTCACACAGTATGAATAATTACGCTTTAATTGATAGGCAATAAAACACTTTCATACATCTATGTATAATTAAATAATATGTGACTGGTTATTGCTCAACAGTAGTAACAGTTTTGTACTAAATAGATAATCTTTGAATGACTCTTTAATGCATGGTGCTAATGCAGACAAATTAAAAATATCCCTATATTTTAGTATTCATATGGCGCACTAAATTTATGCTCCTATTTGGTATAATAATCACGATAAATATTGCACGGCATGCTGTGAAGCATATACAGATTGGTTTAAAATTATAATAAAGTCGTCTTATTTTCAATGTACAATAATATCAGCCATTATTACCAACTGACAAGGATCATGATTTCACATCAAACATCGAAACAATAAAACCACAATAAAATATTTCTCAATATTAACTATCATCCAAAAACCCCAATTTAAAACCTTCAAAGTTGTCAAAATGTTTTGCGTATCATGTTTTATCAACTTCTTCAGGAGCGATTTATGTGGTTGTAATATAGTTTTATGGTAGTCATTAGAAGGCTGTTAAAACTTTCTGACCTGGAGGAGGTTTTATGTTTTCATTTTTAACAATCACGTCTAGAGTGTGATAAAACTGACATAAATCCTATGCTCCTAAAGTAGTTCGCATATCAAGTTTTAATTACTGCATTAAAACTGGGCCAATTGGCCATGACATGGCTGTATTGCGGTTCTCAGGAGATTGTTAAAGCAATGTGGTCGTCAGTGAAGGTTTTATAATTTGGTTATATCAACTGCTATAAAACTTAAATAAAACAAAAATTGTTGCTTGGGTATTTTCGTCATCACGACACACTCAAAAAAATCCCATCAATTATATTTTTCCCCGAAAATCCCAAGGAATTACTAGACTGAAAAAATACATCCAAATGAGTGTCATTCCCCCTGGATGAAATGATAGTATTTTCACTATAGTTTCATCATATTGATGAGTCGTCTGCCCCTTTTTGCTTCTTTTAAGTTTGTGGATGCTTGAAATTTGGCTATTTTTGAGCTGATATTGCCTATAACATGTTCTGTTTTGCAGATAGAACCTTTTTGTCTTCAGTAAAGTTGTGTATTTTCGTGACTATTAAAAAGTTGCACAACATTATAGTCATCTAAAACAAATAATTTCGGAAATATTTACAAAAAACGGATTTGTGAGGCCCTTCTATAAAAAACGCTTCATAACTCAAAATCGCAAGCAGATAGAGACATGGCGTCGTCTACAAAGTTTTTAGTTATGAAGCAACCGACAACTTAGCTCAAGTCTTCCGAGGGGAGCGACACATCTAAATCTCAATCATAGATGCTCAAAAAATCTCACGCCAGCGAATAAATCTACGAAAAATCTTCTTGCCATTTTAAGCATCTAAATCCATCTACTCGCATCGACTTCCATCTTTTTGCAGGAAATCTTCAAGATCTTCATCAATCTTCTTAAAATCTACTCATCGTACGTGCAGCTAAGCACAGCAAAACAAAATCGTTTCTGCATCGAAGATAGAGTCGCCCCCCTCGAAGTCTTCTTATCTCTATATAGTCAAACTAAAAATTTAGACTCTGCAGCGCCACCTGCGGTGAAGTTCCGAACTAAAACTTAACTTCATTCATTCACATTTATAAAAAAAAACTCTTCTAAAACACCCTTTTGAAAACACCTCTGTGAAAGATGCTAATGAGAAAAGTTCATGGATTTGGCCTTTTGCACCACTGTGCACCCCTCAGAACCTTCTCCAGGGAGACTAGACATATTCTAGTCTTAATGAGGTTTTGGTGGATGCATTAATGACAAAATAGCCTTGACCAGGGTTTTATTAATGTTTTTTTACAGTTGCTTTGTAACATTTCATAAAACTTAAATTGTTACTTCGGTAGTAAAATTCAGCATTTTGTAGGTATCGATATTGATATTTTGCAGCACTGATATTGATTTCCTTCAGGTTCAAATGAATGCCTATCATCAGCTGATTGCCCACATGAAACTGCATAACCGAGCGGGTTGTCTGTTATGCTCTTATTTGAAGAGCCGTCGCCGTTTGACCATATAGTCCAATCAACCGGTCATTATATTACCCCGAAATAGCCAAATAAATATTAGGAATTGTATTTCCGATAAGCTCTCGGACATATTTAGACAGTTTCATCGGTCATGCTGTCCGCTGCAAACCCTGGGCTTCTTCTTCCTACTTCTAATCTACTCAAATTGATGCCCCAGATAGTTATAAATCGGAATTGGACTGATTGTATATTTTCAGGAAGATAAGTACGATTTCGGATGGACTCGTATAAAACGGAACTGAAAGGAACGTGCATAGCTGAGTTATTATACCGATTTGCTCGGTAGTGGACTTATTCTAGGATTACCATTAGTGTACGACAGGTAGGGTTATTACAGTGAGTCAGTTAATAGTGAAGTGTAAGCAGATTTTAATCGATTTAAAACTATCTTGTTGTGGCAGTTTGCTGCGAGTAGTGTTTGTGAAGACCTTTGCATCCCTAAACACCGGCCAGCATTCCTGAAGTTATCGATTATTTGCGCAAATATGTCGGATTGATTGGAACTCTTTTAAACAAATTAAAGGACACCACGCGAGTGCAATAGTGGGAAATGTTTGATTTCAAGAGACCCACAAATATCAAACTGGCGGTGTATCACCAAATGTTCTGTAATTTATAGTTGTAATACCAACAATCAATTCGAAACTAACGATTTTAGATTGGCTCACTACTTGACTAGCCTATTGGTCCCAAGCAAATCGATTAACCTACCCCATTCTAGTATATATTCCAGTACTACACTATATTTGTTTTGATTCGCTATGAAAGTTTGACAGATAAAATGAGGGGTTCGTGGATTTTCCTATGTTTCGAGGGGTGCATCGATTAGCTTGGGACCGGAGATAGTACCAGAGTTGAGCCAAAAAGTTGAGCACGTTTCTTAAGGGACCTTCTGGTCTTAGATTTACCTCTATGGTTGTATCATGGAGGTAACTCTAAGACCAGAAGGTCCCAAAGAAACGTGCTCAACTTTTTGTCTCAGCTCTGGTACTCTCTTCGCTCCCCAGCTAATTGATTCACCCCTCGAAGCATAGGAAAATCCACTAACCCCTCATTTTATCTGTCAAACTTTCATAGCGAAACAAAACAAATATTGTGTAGTACTAGAATTTCGACTAGAATGGGGTACGTTAATCGTTTGCTTGGGACCAATAGGCTAATCAAGTAGTGAGCCAATTTAAAATCGTTAGTTTCCACCGGTTGGTTGTATTCCAAAATGACCAGAGGTATCGATTTTTGATCTATACTCGTGTTCCTAGTTGTTTCAAAATGCTTGTATTGTAAGATATCTGACGATTTTCTGTGAATCGAAATCATCATCTTGGTTTCCAAAATGATGTCCGATATCGATTTCAGTCGACATTTAAGGGGGTCCATACCGAGGGGGACGACTCTATCTACGATGCAAAAAAGATTGTATTTTGCTGTGGCTAGCTGCACGCACGCTGAGTAGATAGAAAGAAGATTGATGACGATTCTGAAGATTTCCTGCAAAAAATTGATGAGCGATGCAAGTAGATGCGACAAATGAAAGAAGATTGTTCGAAGATTGATTCGCTAGTGTGAGATTTGTTGACCATCTAAACTTGAGATTTAGATGTGTCGCTCCCCTCGGTCCATACTGAAAAAAAAAAATGTTTAAAATAAAGGCAAGCATCCTCCGACTCCAGGCCTCCCAAGCAGTGCTGCAAAATATCGACCATACACGGCGATATTGACAAAACAGCTTTCATCATCCACTCAAGCTAGGCAAATCATGTCAATTGGGTTCATTAATTTTGAAACGATATTTTTTTTTCGATCTCGTTTACTTCCATCTCGATATTTAAATCAAGATTTAAAGCAAAATATAACCATAGAGGTAACTCTAAGACCACTGGGTCCCGAAGAAAATCATTATTATTTTTGGCTCACTCAGTACCAGAACAACGGTCCCAAGCAGTCCCAAGCTATTTCACTCACCCCTGCATGTTCTGCATGAATCCACACACCCCTGATGTTATCTGTCAAACTTTCATAGCGAATCAAAACAAACATAGTGTAGTAATAGAATTTCAACTAGAATAGGGTACGTTAATCGTTTGCTTGGGACCAATAGGCTACTAAAGTGGTGAGCCAATTTAAAATCGTTAGTTTCGTATTGATTGTTGATATAACCATTGCACTGTTTGACACAAAACTAACAAATTGAGTGCTTGCTTCCATACAAACGCCCACCGAGGGGCGCTAAGATGGTGATTTTCGCTAATGTAGTCACACTTAGTTATAACAACAATCAATACGAAACTAACGATTTTAAATTGGCTCACTACTTGACTAGCCTATTGGTCCCAAGCAAAACGATTAACGTATCCCATTCTAGTATAAATTCCAGTACTACACTATGTTTGTTTTGATTCGCTATGCAAGTTTGGCAGATAATATGAGGGGTTAATGGATTTTCCTATGTTTCAAGGGGTGAATCGATTAGCTTGGGACCGAAGATAGTACCAGAGCTGATCCAAAAAGTTGAGCTCGTTTCTTCAGGACCTTCTGGTCTTAGAGTTACCTCTATGGTTATAATAGTTCCAGTGCTCCAAAATTGATGAAATTTTGGATTTTGATTCCATTTGAAATACAGATTACGAATATGTAATCACCTCAATACCCCTAAAGAGCCTGGGTTGATTAAGGGTATTGAAGTAAAAGCATATTCGTAATCTGCATTGAAAATGGAACCGAAATCCAAACTTTTATCAATTTTGGTACACTGAAACTTTTTTTTAAATATGTGTAAAATTTAAAATTTAGTAAAAACTTAACGAATATGAGGAAAATCGGGAATGGTCACTCAGTCTGTTAGTATACTACATTTGCGTCGATTTTCCTCATATTAGAACTGATCTTTGAGGAAAAGCGAGGAAAGTTTTATTCAGTTTATGAGTAATATGAGTTTTGATTATGTGACATATTATGTTATGAAGATTACCATCATAGTTAAGATCAAGATGGCCATGATTGAAGAAAATTTTTTGCACTTTGACCATAGAGGTAACTCTAAGACTAGAAGCATAGAGGTAACTCTAAGACTAGTAGGCATAGAGGTAACTCTAAGACCACTGGGTCCCGAAGAAAATCATTATTATTTTTGGCTCACTCAGTACCAGAACAACGGTCCCAAGCAGTCCCAAGCTATTTCACTCACCCCTGCATGTTCTGCATGAATCCACACACCCCTGATGTTATCTGTCAAACTTTCATAGCGAATCAAAACAAACATAGTGTAGTAATAGAATTTCAACTAGAATAGGGTACGTTAATCGTTTGCTTGGGACCAATAGGCTACTAAAGTGGTGAGCCAATTTAAAATCGTTAGTTTCGTATTGATTGTTGCTAGTAGGTCTCGAAGAAATGTGCTCAACTTTTTGACTCAGCTCTGGTACTCTCTTCGGTCCCAAGCTAATCGATTCACCCCTCGAAACATAGGAAAATCCAACAACCCCTCATTTTATCTGTCAAACTTTCATAGCAAATCAAAACAAACATTGTGTAGTACTAGAATTTCGACTAGAATGGGGTACGTTAATCGTTTTGCTTGGGACCAATAGGCTAGTCAAGTAGTGAGCCAATTTAAAATCGTTAGTTTCGTATTGATTGTTGGTCCAAGTGTTCGCTTCTGGCGGGCAATGGCCTCGTCCAGCTTTGTGCTTCCCAAATCTGACTCAACTTCCATGCGTTGTAAGCTTCGAATCAATTCTCCAAATCATCCTTCTGAAAAACATGGGATATTCCTTGTGTAGTTCGAGCTTCTTCTGGTAGTCCTGATATTCCTGGATTGGTCCTGATCCCGTAGGACTTTTTCCTTGGTCTGAAATGTTGAATTGTTCATTTTTAACCTGTCACATTTTAAAACAATTCAATAAATCATAGCTTTCTACAACTGTGCCATAAAAAATGGTAAGTGTCTAATGTCAAAGATGAATCACCCCTCAGCAACATTATGGCGAGCGTAAAAAGCTGGATAAGTGAACTGGTTAACTTTTACGAGATACGGATTGGTTAAACTCATAACACAGTGGTGACACTAACTAAAAGTGTACTGTGGACTTTAGTACTGATCCAATTTTGGTATTATTCAGTTAGGCGATGTTCATAAACCATAGCGGGAGGGAGATTTTTGATTGTCTACAGTCCATACAAACTCCAAAAAATGTCGGAAAAAGGCGGAGGGAGGTCTAAATCCTTTCAGGTCTACGTAGTTTATGAACAACCCCTTCAACAGTTTACCAATTTGTCTATTTTTATCCCGGACAGTCTGTATGCAAGCGAACCACATTATTTTTTGGTCCAGTCAAGAGTATACGATTTTTCTTATCAGTGTATCAACTACCGTACTTTTTTTTTCGAATGTCCCATTAAAAAAGCTTTTTGTACGGGAAATTTATTGATAAACTCTTGACAGAAATCATGGCTGCTGAACGATCAAATATTCAAGATTCAATACTTAAATGACCTAGCATGTGACCAATTTAGCCCCGTTCCCTCCCCTTGTAGTCCCACCATAAAAGCCTACCCCATTTAAGCATGATCCCTTAGAACATGCACGATGGAACCGACTGTTTTGCTTTTATCTTCACTGTTGATTCACACTTGTCCCAGATTAGATCACGCATTGCAAACAAATGCTCATTCCCGAACGTCCAAGAAAACCTCTCAACAGGAAGCTCTTTCATAACACTTGTGAGATTAACTCGGTAATCTCCTCAAATAAACCTCTTATCACATGGGCACCAATTCACTCCATCACCGAATTGCCCACGTAATGTAGCAATAACGAAAATAATCAGCCATAAACATGCTTCCACCCATGATTACCTTTATCACTTCTAAAAATCCGATTACCGCGAAATTGACCAATATCGTCGTCATCCCATCCCAAAACAGCCCAACATGCAGGCGATCGTTCTCGTTTCACTGGCCCTGGTGGCCATGGCCTCCGCCGGTGTTCCCCGGACTCCCAACAAGGAACTGAGCCGTATGCTCATGCAGCAGGTCTTAACGAAGCGTTCAGCACCCGCCCCATCTGTTGAAACTGCCGCCGAGCCGAACAAACGGATCGTGATCGAGAACTTCTTCACGACCCGTGTCGATCACTTCAACTCGCAGAACACAGCCGAGTGGACGTTGCGGTACTTTGCGGTCACCGATTACTACCTTCCAGGGGGGCCGATTCTGATTTTCCTCGGCGGAAATCAACCAATCCGGACCTCGATGGTGGACGAATCGTCCTTGATCTACGACATGGGACGGGAGATGAACGGTGCCGTCTACGCTTTTGAATCTCGGTTCTACGGCCAAAGCTGGGTTACGGAGTAAGATTACTGTTTTGGTGGTTAGAGAGGCTAATTGATTGATTGATGATGTTTCTAGGGACTCGAGCACGGAAAACCTACGCTTTTTGAACACTGATCAGATCCTGGCCGATCTTGCCGAGTTCGTTCGTTATCTGAAGCAAGAAGTTCTCAAGAATGAGAACGCCCGTGTGATGGTTTCTGGTTCCGAGTTCGGAGGTTCATTAGCCACCTGGTTCCGCGTCCGTTATCCACATTTGGCCGATGCGGCTTGGTCTTCCAGTGCATGGACCAATGCCGTTATGGACTTCCAGGAATTCTCCGAAGCATGGGGACAATCACTGATCACCTACGGAAGCCAGGAGTGCTACAACGACATCTTCGTTGCATTCCACGTTATGCAGAACTTGCTGGATTCTGGCTTGGGAGATCTGCTGTACGAGAAGCTCAACATCTGTACGCCAATCGATGTGGAAAACCGTTTGCAAGTTCAGTACTTCTTCTCCATTTTGATGACTTCCATCGAGATGTACACTCTGCGCAACAGAGAGTGAGTTGGTAATTTGTTTCTTTGCGAAGTGAGGTTATGAGCAAGGTCCTTTTTTCATTATTTCTAGTATTGCTGCTTTTGCTGAAGTCTGCGAAGACATCACCGTAGGAGATATGCCAACTGCCTTGGACGCCTTTGCCAACTGGTTCAACACGAAATTTGCCGAGGATATTGGCTGCGTTGTGACGGACGTCGACACGGCAGTGGAATTATTCAGCGAGACGGACTGGAATAGTTCGCTCGTCCTGATGGGTGCTCGCCAGTGGATGTACCAAGAGTGCAATGAATTTGGATGGTTCTTCACAACGGATTCGGACAACCAGCCATTCGGTAACCGTGTCAACTTGGAACTGTACTCGGAAATGTGCCGTATGATCTTCGGCGATTGGATTAGCTTTGAATCGATCTACTATGCTACGCAGCGCGCCAACAATCGTTTCGGCGGCAACAGCCCCAGAATCACGGAAGTACACTTCACCAACGGTGCCGCGGATCCGTGGCGTAAGATCAGCATCACCCAGGATCGGAATGCGTTCGCTTTGGCTGATGTGATCCCCAGGGAGCTCAGCGGTTCAGATTTGCCGGCCATTTCGGAGAATGATTCCGAAGAACTGAGGCAAGTTAAGCTTCGTGTGAAGGGTCTCATGGCCACCTATCTGTACCCGGGCAACCCGAGGAAGATGGCCAAGTCGGAGGAGCTCGTTGCGGAGAATTAATTGAGAATGTGTGTTACGTCGAGAGATAATAAATAAGGCACGATTACGATATTGATATTTATTTTATTTGTGGATTGAGAATTGATCCCTTCTGATGATTTTTCAGAAACCATTTTAAGAATAGTTTCTTGAGCAGGGAAAGTTCCAGATATGACAATATTCCCTGGAAAAATCCACGAGACCCCTCTGAGCCCCCTGGAAACTCCTCAAACTTCATCCGGAAATTTTTTCGAACTTCTGCCGGAAGTTCCCTTAAAAATTCCGCTGGAAGCTCCTCGCATTTGCCGAGGATGGTCGTCAAACTTCCTCAGGAAATTCCCTAAAGCTCCCCTGGAAATTCATCCAGCTTCTGCTAAAGATATTATAAACTTCGTACTGTGACTTCATTGGGAATAACTTGAACTTATGCTGGAAGGTCCTCGAATGACCCTCTGAAGTACCTCGAATCCCACTGGAAGTTTCTCAAACCCCTTCTAAATATATCTTGCATTTCTGCATTTTTGCTTGAAGTACACCGTTTGACATATTCATGTTAATTTCAGCGATATGTTGTGCACACGTAATTAATGCTAGATTTGGCGTAAATGTACACTATATTTCATTAAAATGTATTCGCAATATAGCATAAATCGGGATTGTTGTATACAAGCTTGCTAACAAATTTCGTTGTTTATACTAACTATAGTTCAAAATTAAACGAGGAGAGCCTTTACGCGATGATTCAAATTGATATTTTTTTTTCTGTGTACATTGAACTTCTGCTAAAATTTAATTTAACTTCATTTGGAAGTTCCTTAAACTTATGCTGGAAGATCATCGAACTACCTTACTGACTTACTAATTGTACTTACTCCCGAAGTACCTCGAGCTTCCGCTTGAAGTTCCTCAAAAATTCTCTGCAAGTTCCTCAAACTTTCTCAGGAAGCTCTTCAAAGTTGCTATGGAAGCTCTTCTTGAAGTTCGAGCTTCCGCTAAAGGTTTCTTGAACTACAGCTGGAAGTTCTTTGAATGTTAGTTGAAAGATCGTTGAACTTGATTGAAGGTCCTTGACCTTACCCCCGAGTTACCTCGAACTTTCTAGAGGAATTCCTCGATCATTCTCGGGAAGTTCTTCAAAATTCCTCTGGATGCTCCTCATACTTCATCGGAAAGTTCTTTGAACTTTCTCTGCAGGTTCCTCGAACTTTCACTGAAAGATCCTCGAATTTACTGAAGAAGCTCCTCAAACTTCTGATGCAAGTCCCTCGAACCTTCTCTGGAAGCTTCTAGAACTTCCGGGAAATCTCTTTGAACTTTCTCTGCAAGATCCTCGAACCTCCTCTGGACGTTTCTCAAACTTCCTCTGGGTTCCTCGAATCTTCCGGGGAAGTTCCTAGAAGTTGCTCTGGAAATTTCACAATCCTCCTCTGAATGTTCTAGCTTCTGCTAGAGGTTTCTTGAACTCCTGGTGTCGTTTACGAAGTACCTCGAACTTCTTCCAGAAGTTTCTCGAACTGTATCGGGAAGTTCCTCAATCTTTCTCGAAAAGCTCCTCAAGAAGCTTCTCAACCTTACTCTGGAAGCTACTCAAATTTCTGCTGGAAGTCCCTCAAACTACCTCTGGAAGTTCCTTGAAGTAAATTCCACGATCCTCCTCTCTGAAGTTCGAGCTTCTGCTAGAGGTGTCTTGATTTTCTGGACGTTCGTGAACGTCTGTTGGAAGCTGCCACGCTTAGATTTTTTGCCGAGATTGGCACAGTAGACCGCTGAGATCTCAGCAAAACTCCCGGTTTTTAGCTGAATCTCGGCAAGTTTTTCACTGAGATCCAGTAAAATAAAATGCCGAGCTAGTCGGTGGTGCCAATCACGGCAAAAAAAAAAGACTACGAATGTGGAAGTTACTTGAACTTACCCCCGAAGTACCTTGTACATCTTCCAGAAGCTTCTCAAACTTTCTCGAAAAGATCGCCTAGAAGCTTCTCGCACATCCTCTGGAAGCTTCTCAAACTTCTTCTAGAAATTCCTCAAACTTCTGCTGGAAGTTCCTCAAAACTCTCAGAAAAATTCCTTGAAGTTGCCCTGGAAATTCCACGATCCTCCTCTGAATGTTCGAGCTTCTGCTTAAGGTTTCTTGAACTTCAATGAACTTCTACTGGAAGTTTGTTGAACGTCTGTTGGAAGTTCCTTGAGCTTATGCTGCAAGTACCTGAACTTCTTCAAAAAGTTTTTCGAACTTTCTCGAGAAGTTCCTCAAACATTCTCGGACAGTTCCTCTGGAAGCTCTTCAACCTTCTGCAGGAAGTTCCTCAATCTTTCTTTGGAAGATTCTCGAAACTCCTCTTGATGCTTCTCAACCTTCCTCTGGAAATTCTTCCATGATGTTCCTCGAATCTCCCGGGGAAGTTCCTTGAAGTTGCCCTGGAAACTCCCCGGTCATCCTCTGGAAGTTCGAGCAATTCCTAAAGGGTTCCTGAACTTCTCATTGAAGTTCATTGAACTTATACAGGAGATTGATTAATCTTCTACTGAAGATTGATTGAATGTCAATTGTGAAGTTCATTGAACTTCTACTGGAGGTTCGTTGAACGTCTGCTGGAAGTTCCTTGAACTTACTTGCCAGAAGTTTCTCGAACATTTTTCGGGAAGTTATTCAAACTTTCTCGAAAAGTTTCTCTAGCAGCTCTTCAAACTTCCTCTGGGAGCTCCTAAAATTTCTGCTTGAAGCCCCTAAAACTTCCTCGGAAAGTTATTAAAATCTCCCTGAAAGCTCCTCTAACTTTCTCTGGTAGATTTTCGGACTTCCTCTGGAAGCTTCACAAACTTCTTTTGGAAATTCCTCAAACGTCTGCTGGAAGTTCCTCCAATCTCCTGTCCCTTGAAGTTGCTCTGAAAGTTCAAGTTTCTGCTAGAGGTTTCTTAAACTTCTGAGGGAAGTTCTTCTAGAAGCTTCTCAAACTTCCTCTGGAAGCTCTTCCAACTACTGCCAGAAGTCCCTCAATCTTCCTCTGAAAGTTCGTAGAATCTCTCGGGGAAGCTTCTCAAACTTCCTCTGGAAATTCCTGAAACTTCTTCTGGAACTTCTCCGGGAGATTTAAGCAACAATCTCCCGGAGAAGTTCTTTGAAGTTTCCCTGGTAATTCCACGTACCTGTTCTGGAAGTTCAAGCTTCTGCTAATTAAACTTCTGATGGAAGTTCATTGAACTTCTACTGGAGGTTTGTTGAACTTTTGTTGGAAGTTCCTTGAACTTACCCCCGAAGTACCTCGAACATCTTCCAGAAGTTTCACGACCATTTCTCAGAAAGTTTCTCAAACTTTCTCGAAAATTTCCTCCAGAAGCTTCTCAAACTTCCTCTGGAAGCATCTCAAACTTCTTCTGGGAGCTCCTCAAACTTCTTCTGGGAGCTCCTCAAACTTCTCCTAAGGAAGTTCCTTGAAGTTGCTGTGGAAATCCCACGGAAGGTGTTCAATATTTCGGATTTATAAAGCTGGGTCTTCCCAAAAGTTCAGAGACCTTTCAATAAGGACAATTCGTAAAAGTTAAGAGATCATCATTTAACTTCAGAGAACTTTGTAGAAGCTCGGAGAACTTATTAAAAGCAAAGGAAACGTTATAGAATTTCAAGCAACTTCATAGATCTTCAAGAAATATCGTAGAACTTTTGAAAACTTCGTTAACATTTCAATGAACTGGGAACTTTCTAGAAGTGCAGAAAATTTTATAGATGTTCAGCTAACTTTGTAAACTTTATAGAAGCTCAATGAACTTCATAGAAGCTCAATGAACTTCATAGAACATTAGACAATTTTGTAAATCTTTGGCGAGTTTCGAGGAAAATCAGAGGACATTGTAGAACTGCATTTAACATTGATAAAAATTAGCGAGAAATTTAGCGATTTTTGTAGAAATTCATGTAACTTCGTTGAAGTTCAGGGATTTTTTAAACTTAGACTTTTTTAACTTTTTTAACAATCAACGAAATTCTAAAAAGTTTAGGGAACTTTGAAGAAGTGCAGTAAACTTCATAGGAATTCTGAGAAGCTTGAAGCTCAGCGATTTTCGTAGAAGTTCAGAGAATTTCACCCAGATTCACAAGCTTTCCTGAAATTTGAAGAAGGTCATGCATGTCCTGAGATCTTGGTCGAATTAAGAGAACGGCAAAACAATAATTATGGAACTTGGAAGAAGTTGATGAAACTTCGTGGAAGTTATGAAGCAAGGATAATGGAACTTTGTAGATGTTCAAGGAGTGCACCTCAGGATTTCATTTAAACCTTCGCCACCTGTTGAGAACAGTGCACATTTTCCGTCTAAACTTTCAAATCATCAGTTCTAAAGAATCTCCTTGGAGCATTTCACAAAAATCCGTTGCATTATATTCGTAAAACCGGGTTATTATACATATAACAGTCCCATTAAGAAATCTTAAACACACGTTTATTTAACGAATGACCAAACATTATAATCTTAAAAAAACTAAACCTCATGGATTGGATCGAAATCCAAGAAGATCCACGAATCGATCAGATTACGAGTGGTTTCCTTGGCAGCGATAAGCTCGGGCGAGTCGTACATATAGTCGATCGACTCCAGATCCGGAGCGTGGAACGCATTCGGCACCACGGTGGCCACTGCTTCTTTGTTCAAATCTTCCACGATTCCGGTCACCATCATCGGATCGATGTCTCCGTGGGTAAAGTGGACATTGACGACCTCCGGTTGCTTACCACCGAAGCGAACATTCGTACGATCGACCTGATTGCGGATGATTTCTTCGTTGATCCAGTCTCCGAAAGCGTGACGGCACACTTCTACGTAGAAGTCATTATCGATCTGATCGCCGAAGGGTTGGTAGAACGATTCGGTAGTGGCAAAGAATCCAGTTGCGGTGCACTGCAGATACAGACGCTGGCGGTATCCTTTCTGCAGATAGTCTGCATCGAAATCAGTTTCCAAGTAGGGAGCCATGAAGTGATTGAAGCCAAGATCGACGCATTCCTCAAATTGGTGCTCACGTAGGAACCAATTGCTCAGGGCAAGAAGACTGTTTTCGATATCATCGTCAGTATTTTCGATAACTTCGCACATCTCGGTAGTCGATTGCGTGTGGCGAAGGTGCATTATTTCATCTTCGATGTCGCGTTGAAGTCCCAACAGGAAGGCAGTAGTATCTAGGCGATTGTCAGTGTCTACAGCCGAACACAGGTCAAACAGCTCGGTCAGCAGATCGGTGCGATCCAAAGTGATCATGTTCTGAACAACGCGGAAACCGGAGAAGATGGTACCATAGCAGTCACGTCCACCAAATTCGCCAATGGTCTCTCCCAGAGATTCCATGTAACCGGCCAGGTCAAATTCAGCTTCCATGGGGCCACTGGATGCCCAAACACCGTTGGTCAAATGCGGGAACTGTTGATGGAACCAAGTGGCCAAGCTACCACCATAACCGTAGCCCATCAGAATGACTTTGGCATCGGGGTTGCCAACGACATCATGTTTCAGGTGGTGGATCCAGGCAGCCAAATCAGCCAGAGCCTGATCGACGGTCAGGAAATCCATTTTCTCCGAAGTGGCATCACTGTAAAGTCAGTCCATGAATTAGTCTTTCATAAACTCCACACACAATCTCGAATACTTACGCAACTGGCAAACTGTGGCCGAAGTAACGGTGCTCGTTGGCGAAGATGTAAGCTCCTTCCAGGTAGGCGATGTCGTAGAACAGACCCTCGCTCAGATAACGGGTTTCAATGGGTCCGTTCGATCCAACGATAACGAAGATCGGTCCTTTGGCGTAGGCGTGTTCATCGTTGGAATAGTACCGCATGTCGAACTTATCCTGATTGCGTGGGTTGAAGTGGTCGACGCTGGTCTCGAACCATGCTTCGCGAACCATTCCACTGGCCACGGCTAGTAAGCCGGCCAGTAAGACAACTGCCCTCGTGATCATGATGAACTGAACTTTCGACTACTCTTGGTGTGACAGTACGATTACCAGAACCGCACGAAATGGTGACCCGAGCAAGGTGACATGCTTTTATAGCTTCAGCGTGCGCGCTGGCAGTAATCTCATCCTGATACGGGGGTATCAGGGGACCCTCTGGGTTCAATATCTAACAAACCGTTGAGATTAGGTGTAGATGACTTAATTTATCTGCTGCTATAAATATACGTACAGCACTCAATTGTTGGATGATTAGAATTGTTACATCCTAAAGAAAAAGAATCGTTACGCAGAATTTCAGTAGTGCCCAATCGTACTATTCAAATGGGCTATGCAAGAAATCAACATTATGTCACTATAGATGTATAGCAACATTCTCAGGATTATTACATAAATCAACACCTGTTTTGTGGTCCTAATCTTGCCAAGATAATCACTTGGTAGGGGACTTTGACAAATACGTACGTTTGGCTATCAGCAGTGGTCAGCACGTGCTTATCGGATACGAGATGAATTTTTAGGAATATTACTATACGTGGACTTCACTTCCATTAGTGCAACAACAAAATGTATGCTTCGTTCATGCTGCTCACCATCCAACTTTGACAAGTTTGGCAAACAGTTTTTGTTTATTTTTCCCAGAAAGACCCAGATAAATCTACAACTTGATCTCAAACGTCATTTCGAACAACAATGCCGTTTTTTGGTACGTTGCTACGGTTTTTTGGAAAATGTCGAGGCTGCCATTTAGAAAATTTTACAAGATCCAAAATGGCTGAATTTTAGCAAACATAACCCATAACCGAGGGAGGTGACTATCTAAGATGCAGGAAAGATTTTGTCTTGCTGTGGTTAGCTGCGCGCACGCTTAGTAGATAGAAAGAAGATTGGCACGATGCAAGTAGATGTGAGAAATGAAAAAAGATGTTGCGTAGATTGATTCGCTAGCGTGTGATTTTTTTAATTTTTTTTTTGCAGGCGTCTGCTTATCAGTGTTGAGATTTGTCATTGTCATTGACAGACTTTCGCGCGATATTGACAAAATTGTTCATCACTTAGTCACTGATAAACTTGATACTCAAAGAAATCTCATTCATTTTTTCGTCAGTGACAAAGCTTCACCTGGTAACAAGACGTTTAATTTCGTGTATTCTGTGTCACATTATTGTTATCCAAGCAGTTCAGGTCGTAGATGCTTGTTAAACGGCTCCCTGTAATTATTTTGCTCAAATAATTTAATTTCGTTACAAATTTAGGTCCTAAAAAATCTGCACATGTCCGTCACTGACAGCATTGTCACTGACATGGCTTGCCTTGACGATGACTGTTAGCTCAAATCAAGCTGAACATTACATTTGGTCCTAAGTGTTCGTGAATTGCGCGCGTACACTCAATACAAACCTATATCGCAACAGTGGCGACGAGGTGTAGGAGTTTTCGTGCGGAAAATTGCGCGTTTGACCGGTGTTTTCGCGGATTAGAAGACCGGGGATAAAGTTTGGTAGCGATGGTGGAGCCACAGCCGACCAACATTACAGAGGCCGTGGTGCAGATCCTGAACAATCAGCAGGCATTGATGCGGCAAATCTCCCAGCAGTTGGCCACTACTCAGCTCGCCGTGAACAACCTATCCCGCGACGAATCGGTGCTGGACTCCCTCTCTAGCAACATGGCGGAGTTCATCTACGACAAAGACGATGGGCACACATTTGATGCATGGTTTTCCCGCTACGTCGACCTCTTTGAAAAAGATGCCGGCAAGCTGGATGACGCTGCAAAAGTGCGACTACTCCTGCGGAAATTAAGCCCACCCGATCATGAGCGGTACAACAGCTTCATTCTTCCGAAGCTCGCTCGAGAGTTTACCTTTGCTGCTACGGTGGAAAAATTAAAGTCGTTGTTCGGTGCCACAGTGTCAACGTTCCGGTGGCGATACAACCATAGAGGTAACTCTAAGACTAGAAGGTCCCGAAATAACGTGCTCAACTTTTTGGCTCAGCTCTGGTACTCTCTTCGGTCCCAAGCTAATGGATTCACCCCTCGAAACATAGGAAAAACCAATAACCCCTCATTTTATCTGTCAAACAAACATTGCGTAGTACTAGAATTTAGACTAGAATGGGGTACGTTAATCGTTTGCTTGGGACCAATAGGCTAGTCAAGTAGTGAGCCAATTTAAAATCGTTAGTTTCGTATTGATTGTTGATACAACTGCTTGCAGACCACCAAGGAGGACAGCGATGATTACCTGGCTATAGGGTTTTGCCTTCTCAAACTTCTCGATTCCGCAGACAAAACTAATCCTTTCTTTCCCAGATAATTTCCAACTCCTTTCTCCCTCGCAGTCTTCTTCACCCTCCCATCCAATCAGCCCTCCATCACCAAGGATCCGTATTCGCAGGTCTAGCGATTTCAAGACTCTCACAAGATTAATGTATAAGGTGTGCTTGCTTAAAATTATGAATGTATTTCACCAAGAACCCTACACCCCACCCTTTCTTTAAATAGAATCGCATAAAACATCCTTATCAATAAGTTACATAGTCCTTTAAGAGCTTCGATTTTGTTCTAGCTCTCTTAGATCTTGTAGGTCCTTCCGTTTCATCAGTACTTACATCTTCACAATGGGTTTCCTTCTCCTTAATAGGTACAGTTTCTTCAATTGATGGGGCTGAATCTTCATCTGCATCAGAATGTAAAACAAGATCACTTGGAATGACTTTAAGATGTGCTGCGCTTCTTCTGATTTGTTTTCCACTGGAAGATGACAGCAATCTAACGTCTGTTCCTTTTTTCTGGACTACCTCAAACTGCTCTGGTGAAAAATCAGTACTGAGTTTGTTTTTCTTTCTAGCCTGCTTAACTAAAACCTGATCACCAACTTGAATTTCACTTGGTTTTGCTTTCCTTCTGATGTCAGCATATTGCTTTCCCTTCTCTTTCTCGACTCTGTCCCGATCCCTTATCTCTCCGTCTTCAATTTCCACTGATGGTACACTAGGAAGCTTTGTTCGTAGGCGACGCCCAAACATCAACTCGGATGGTGGCTTCCCAGTAGTTGTGTGGTTAGCGGCATGATACATAAGCAGGTACTGACGTAATTCTTTGCGCCAATCTTGACCAAGCTCCTGCGCTATTTTCAGTCGTTTCAATATTGACCGGTTTTGTCGTTCAACTTCCCCGTTCATTTGAGGCCAATACGGGATTGTGTTTACCAGCTGGATTCCATATTCATCGCAGAACATTTTAAATTCATCCGAACACAGTTGTGGACCGTTATCTGCGCGCAATGATAGCGGTACTCCATACCGGGAGAAAACGATCAGAAGTTCATCGATGGTTGCTTTGGTTGAAATATCTGTCATCTCGACGACCTCCACGTATCTGTTGTAGTAGTCTACACAAACTAACAGATTTTCACCTTCCGGCAGAGGGCCTAGAAAATCAATAGCAATTTGCTCCCATGGCCGTGATGGAAGTTCCTTTCTAGTCATTGGTTCTGGGGGATTCGGAGCCGCTACCAACGAGCACCCGCGACAATTTCGTACAAATTTCTCCACATGTTGGTCGATCTTAGGCCACCATACGCATGATCTCAAATGTCCTTTCATTATCCTTACTCCTGGATGTCCTTCATGTGCAAGTTCAAGAATTCGTCTCTGGAGATTTTGAGGCACAATAATGCGGTCAATTCTCAACAGGACATTATTCACCTGGCAGAGCTCATTGTGAATCATTCGGAAAGATAACGGAAGTTCGTCAACTATTCCAGACTCCAGAGAGTCAACCACTTGCTGGATTTCTGGATCCAGCCTACTAGCTTCCGCAATCTCGTCCCATTTTAGAGCTGCTATCGTAACAGTAGCGATAGCGATCTCACTGATTGTTAACTCTTCCGCCTCATCAAATGGTCTTGCCACTTCTGTGGAAAGTCGGGAGACAACATCGGCAAGATTCTCTTTACCAGAGATGAACATCACGGTATACCGAAAACCCTGCAAGCGCAGCACCCATCGTTCGATACGGGCACAAGGACGTGAGGTATGCGAGAACAGGAACGTCAGCGCCTTACAGTCAGTTAGTAAATTGAACTCCCTTCCGATCAAGTAGGTTTGAAAACGTTCAACACTCCAAACAAGCGCTAATGCCTCTTTTTCCGTTTGGCAATATCTGCGCTCGGTATCTGTTAGCGATTTCGAGGCGAAACAAATAACCCGGGACTCTCCAAGTTTGTTTGTTTGTATAAGAACCGCTCCCAGTGCGTATGGGCTGGCATCTGCAACAACGGATGTATCTTCTTCAGGCTTATAAAATCCCAGACTGCCTGCTTTGGAGAGATGCATTTTAATCTCTTCGAACGCTTTCTCTTCTTTCTCACCCTATTGAAACTTGATACCCTTCTGAGTTAAATTTCGAAGTGGTTCGTCCAAGGTAGCCAAGTTGGGTATAAACTTCCCCATGTAGTTAGCAAGACCTAAGAAGCTTCTTACTTCGCTATCATTAACGGGTCGGCGAAAATTTGAAAGCGCATCCATCTTTGCAACAGAAGGTTGAATTCCTCTATGAGATATTCTGTATCCCAGAAAATCGAACTCAGTTACTCGAAATTTGCACTTGTTCCAATTTAATAAGACGCCTCTGTCTTCGAACCGTTGAAGTATCTACAATATTACAAATTATAAAAAAAAACAAAACACAAAAAATAACATGTTTAAACCTTAGTATCGTAGAAAATTTATTTAAATTCAATAAAAAAAATAAAATAAAGAAATCATCGAAAAATTTATACCTTGTTCGCACGATGTCTCTGGAGGCTTCATCCAATTCCAATAAGAAAAAAGCATCTTTGACGTCAAGAGTACTCCATATACTACCTCTGCCAACTTTAGTCAATATGTCTTCTATTACTGGCATCGGATGTCGCTCGCGGATTACTGCTTGATTTACCCGACGGAGGTCAACACATAGCCTGATTTCACCATTAGCCTTGTTCGCCACGACCAAGGGGGAAACCCAAGTTGCCGGCCCGGTCTTCTTCTCAATGATGTCTTTTTCTAATAGATCATCCAATTTCTTATTCAC